GGGCCAATTCAGTCCTGGAGCTGTGACCAATTAAGTGCAAATTTCTTTTTGATGAAACCTTATGGGTGGGCATTCATTTGTCCTTGGTGTCCTCTGGTGGCTCGTCCTAAGAGGGTGCAGATCAGATACACGATAATAAGAGAGTCATGCTGCGCTCGGGCAGGCACGGCCCCACTCTTCCCTTCTAAATCCGTCCTGCCCATTCTCCCTTGGGAGAGGAGGGGAGGAGGGCGGGTTATTGCTCCTCCTGTCTGCTTGGCTGTTAACTAGCAGAGGGCCTCCAGGAGACAGAAGACTACCTGCAGAGAAGATGAGCAAAGGACAATACCAGGGAGGAAAGGAAGGCAGAGGGAGGGCTCAGCCCACATTTTTCTGTCTTTCATGCTTGAAATTGGTGACCTTCTAGGGGTTGGAGTCCAGAAGGCTGTGCACAGATTCTAGTGGATTCTTGCTACCGTTCTAACTTGTTATTATGGCATTTGTGCAGCTGTTTCTTGCAAAATGAACTGATAGCATGCATAGGCTAAGCCCCCACTCTCCAGGTGGCATTTGGCCCCCTCATCCATCCCTTGGAGGAAGAAGCCAGATCTGTGTGAGAACACATCTCCTCTTCTCCACTGACCGAGGAGCTGTGTAACCCCTGGGAACCCCCAAGTCAAAGCAGCTCATAAAGGCCAGATGGGGACAGCAACCCTTATATTAAAGCTAGTGGGCTGAGTTCCCAGGCTAGCTCCCCCAAACCCGTTCAACTCATGAGAGAGCAGGAACAATAGTGAGAGTGCACATTAGACATTAGCTCCCTTGTGTAACATTTCTATGGAAAACCTGAGTCCCAGATGCTTTCGTCCCTCATGTCCCACACTCTAATAAATGCTGCCCTAGAAATTGGAGGAGGGACGCCCTCTTCCTGTCTGTAGAGGCATGGCCGCAGGACGCTTAGTCTCCTTGTAGGAGACTTACGAGGGGACTCAAACAAGCTCCAGCCTTCTCTGTGGGAGAGAAAGGAACATTTCTAGGTATACACTGTGTGCCAGGCACTGCTTGGGCTGTCTCATGCTTTCTCTGTTTTACTTCTCCCAATAATCCAATGAGATAAGCATTATTATCAGGAAACAGGCTCTGAGAAGTTTAGTAACGTCCCTGAGATTTCCCCCTAATAACGGCAAGAGCTGAGATTCCAACCTATACACGTGTGCAGAATCCTTTAGAACTCAGGGATGCTCCAGTAGAACCCTTCCTTTATAAAAGGCCTATAAGAGTCAACTATTATACAGAGACTTTGAACATTGCCTGAGGTTTGGCATGGTCCTTTTTCACGGAATTCTTTATTAGACACTAAGCAACATGAGGGCAGGAACCTGTTCTGACTATGTTTGTGTCTGCAATGCCTAGCACAGTCTTGGAAGCATGACAAATGCCCATTAATATTTGATTAACAGGAAATACTGTTTGCTCTGCTTCCTAAGATAGAAAATTGAACTCATGTGTTTTAGAAAAATTTCAACAGCCAATATTGAAACAAGAAAAATATTTTCTCAACCTTTGGTCAAGTAGGAAATTCAATACCTAAGGTGCTGTTGTAAGGAAATTTCTTGGCTTATGAGTCATCCATGTATAGGAACAAATGGAAGGGGCAACCATTGTGACTTAGAACAGTTTGGCAGGCTCCAGAATCCAGTCACCAGGTAGGACATTTGTAATGCTCTTCCTATGGGGAAAACTTGCTCCCAGCTCCATATAACCAACTTTCAAGCCAACCCTGAGAACACAAACTAAAACTTGGGGACAAGGTAACGTTGACCTTAATTTGAAGTATACTCTGGTTATTGATTTCTTTCAGTAACTCAAAGTTGAGGGAAAGAAAAGAGTGTTTTTCCCAGCTATAAAGGAGTAAACCACTCAATAATAACTACTACTTACCAGATTTTTCACTATCTAACATTCTCTCTTCCAGGGGTTCTAAGAACATTAGTTTATTGCACTCTCACTTCAACCTTATGAGGTATGATTATTATCTCTGTTTTTACATAAAACTGAGGCTGGCAGAAATTAGATTACTAGTTGGTAGTAGAGCTGGTATTAGAACTAAGGTCTGGCTGACCACAAAGCCCTCTATAGAAGGTCTCTCTTGGAACACAAAGGGTATTTGCTTCTTAATGTGAAGGGTAAATGGAGGATACTGGTCCTGCAGACAGATCATCTGAGGTCATGCATTCATGGTATCAGTGGGTCAAAAGCTGCTATTAAGATCAGGGACTGATTATAGAAATTGGCAATGGCAAGGTCAGTTTTGACAAGAACTACTTTTGGAAGAGCCAGACGTCTGTATGAAGAGCAAAACGAAGAAGTGGACACAATTAGTGTAGACAATTCTTTTGATGAATTTCATTGGAAAGGGCAGCTGAGAATTGGGAGCAGTAGTTGGAGAGAGAGGTGGAGTCAAGGAAGGATTTTTTTTTTAAAGATAGGAATAGAGTAGTATGTCTGTATACTACTGGAAATGATTTAGGACAAAGGAAAACATTAATTTTGGTAGAAAGGGGGAAAAGCCACATAAGAGGGTATAGGATCTAATGTACAGTGGAGCAGTTGGCCTTACACGGAGTATATATGGTTCATCCAGAGTAACAGAAAAGCTGGGACACTTAAGTAACCCAGGCACATGTAGGCAATTGCTGGCCTGCACCAAGGTCCACTTGAGATTAGTGATCACAAATTGAAAATAAGTCCAGGCAGCATTATTTATGCTCCTTAATCATGTCTAGGTAGAGAATTAGATTTTATCAGGGTTGTTGTTTTTCTAGGTAAGTAGTAAGAGGGGGGGCGTAGAACATGAAGGTACATGTACAAGAGAAATGACAACAATGAACCTGGAAACTTAAGTGCATGATGAGGAGAGTAAGGAATAGAGAAAAGGTCGTGGATTAATAAATTACAGGTGCTGTTAGTATCAAGGAGACATTGGATTAAGATAACACAGAGAATAAACTGGAAAGATAAAAAGTGCTGCTTGGAGAGTGGAATGCTTGACATAGAGATTATGGACGGTGTGAGAGCAATAAACTGGGATAGCTGGAGGATGTTGAAGAATTGAGAAACCAGGGTGTGAGGAGAATCCACTATGTAGATTCAGAAATAAGAATTATCATAGGAGTGGTAGTAGGGAAAGTGACAGTGAACCAGATGCCAACATCTTCAAGGAATGAGGTGGAATATCCCAAGAGTCTGTAGATAGCTGCAGTAAGTAGCGGTGGTGGGTACTATGATTTGTTACTTTCAAGGAGAGCCAGGTTTCAATCAGAGTTAGAAATTGAGACGTTCAGAGGAGAGGCTGAGGGTATTGGGGATTTTGCTGATGATAAACTGTGCATTCCAGAGGACAAATAGAAGGATTCTAGGAGGTGGGAGGGGGTGCACTTTTGCAGACATTCACTGAAGTGCATTCACTACTTGGACCTGGGAGGTCAGATTGTGAGGTGTGGGAAACAAGAAGAGGATACAGAGATAGGCAAGGCTGCTTAAGCATGGCTACTTCAGGGGGCAAGGCCAGCCCCACCCTGCTTCCCTGCATTCCTCCAGGAGCATGCTGGCTAAAGTGGGTGGCTTCTTTCTGTCCTCCAAGGTCATCAGTTAACCAAAAGCTGACAGTGGAAAACCAGAGATGGCTGCATGTTTACAGAATCAGAGCACACGGGCGTGGATCCAGGGGACCCTCAGGCTGCTGCAGCTGGTGATCTGATCACTTTGAGACTATAGAAGGCCGCAGGGGGTTGCCAGGCTGTTGGCTCCACCTGTCAGTCTCCGAGGACAAGGACGACAAAGGGGCAACCATTTGCCACGTTTGCTCCTACCTTCCCCTGAACAACTTCAGTGTGGCCTCTCACTGGAGAGCCTCCTAAAGCCCAGCGCCCTCCCAGGCAGAGCAGTCAAGGCAGGGCTTCCTGGAGGAAAATACGTAATGCACCTAATCTAATTTATTCAGGTCACTGACCCAAAGAGGGAGATTTCTAGAATCTGACATGAATTACTTTAAGACCTGCAACTCAGACAGACTCTCTGACAGTAACTTCTGTTTCTACATTCTGTATTTTAAACCACTTAACTCTTTATATAGTAGAAGGAACACTACTCTGCTCTCCTCAGACAGACTGCCTTCACAATGCTGTGCAGTCATCCATAAATTCTCTGACTTCGAGGCTCAGTTTCCCTACCTGTGAAACGGAGACTATCCTGCCTGCTTGATGGTCTTCCCTGCTTGAACCAGGTGGTCTCTTAAAAGGAGAAAATATTGTTTGGACTGGAGTTAAAATTCAGGTTCAAAAAGGAGGACGGGGCTAGGGGCATCTGAAGCTCCTCCTCTCTTGCTTGCTGCAAAACATATTCAAGCTCTGAAAATCCGGCATCTCCCATGAGAAGCACAGAATTAACGCTTCCCCAAGCATCGGGGTAGGGCAGACATAGCACAAAAAAAGCAGCAATCGTTTTAGAACTGGCTAGGCTTAATTTTTAATAAATGGGCAAAGGAGGTGGCGGTGGGGGAGAACACCCTCCAACCGCGAGTTGGGAGGCAGCGCGCGCGCCCCTGCCGAGAGTGACGGCCGCGGTCGCCCAGCAACCGGCGGCGGGGCTGCGCGCGGGGCGCGGGGCCGGCGGGCGCGGGGAGCTCGCCGCCTCCGCCGCGGCGCGCCCTCGGATGCGGTCGCGGCCTGGCGCCCCCCGTCGGGGTCCGCGGGGTGGCTCCTCGGAAAGTTGGCGCGCCCCTGCCCTCGCCTGGAAGGCGCTCTGTCCTTGGGCCGAATTGTTCCCCCAAGTTTCTCTGGCAATTTCTTACCCCCCGTGGTCCTGGCGCCCCAAACCCCGCGCGGCCGCGGGTTCCCGGGCGCTGATCGCTGGGGAGAGAAGCCCGCGCTTTTCTAAGGGACTTGGGGTGGCTGATGCTGACCGCTCGCCCTGAGTGGTTGCGATTCTGTTTTTGTCTTCTGCTTTTCTTTTTCCTCCAGACAGTGAGTTTGGGGAAGCCCCTCTCGCACCCTACAGCCCGGAGGAGTTAGGTAAGTCTGCCCCTTTTGCCTTTTCTTCTCCGAATTCCGCCAGAGAACCGCGAGTTTGGGGGGCGCCGTGGGGCGGGGGAGAGAGGAGGGGCGGGTGACGCTCACCGGGCTGCACCTTCCCTTCGCTGTGCGAACTGGCCCTTGTGGGCGCGGGGCTTTGGGGTGGCGGGGAAAGTGTCAGATGTGCGGTGTGGGGGGGGGGGCGGGTGGGCGTGATGCTCGGAGAAGCAGGGCACAGCTAACTTCCTGGGCCTCTGTGACTGGCCAGAGTCCCCGCTGCCTGGAAGGACACCTCGGGGGACTTGTTCTACCTGCTTGAGAAAGACGCCGTGTGCAGTCCTTAACCTATTTTAATGAAGTCGAGGGCCAAAAACTAGCAGTTGGCTATTAAATTTCAGGGGGGTGAGCTGCGTTCCCCCTGGTGCCTGTACCTCCTTCAGCCTCTGGGTGCCTGGGAATTGGGCATTTCATCCTCCTGGACCTGTCCTTGTAAGTGTAGATTTGGGGTGGGTGAATCGTGACTCTTCTGTCAGAGACAGACTTCCTCGTGTGAAGAGAGGAGGAAATCGGCACTGTCAGGATCCCTTTAAGTATTCCTGCCATCCAGTCTTACTTTGGTAGCTTAGGGGTTGGCTTCTTTGCTTTGCTTTCTTCTCACTCTCCGATTCAGTTTAACTGCTACCAATCTGGGCTGTCAAGTCTGTCCTCTTATCACCAGCTTAAAAATCTTACCTTCCTACCATGAAATGACAACTGTTTAAAAATGTTTATCCACGGTAACACTCTTTGCCTGGGGTACCTCGTTCCTGGTCAGCCTTTCCTCCTGGGATGTACGCCCTCATCAAGTCCCACGCCACCTGAAGTAAAATTCCACTTCAGCAGGACTTTCATTTCTAGAAGCTGGGAGCCCAAAATAGATCTGGATGAAGGATCACATGGGGAGGCAGGGGAGAGCACCTTGCTGTATTCTGAAGATGTGTTTCTGACCAGTTGTGAGGCAATCATATCTCTGTAAATGGAATCATAGATTAAATGCATGAACAAAACTAGTATGTAAAGGCACACAGTGTGGATCCGTTTATGAAATGAGATGACATCTAAACCATAGCTTTGCACGAAGAGATTTACTAAGAGGGCAGATTCCCAGTGATCTGCTCCATCCATGTGTAATTGTGTATTAATGATACCAGCACTGGCACTCCACAGTGTGACAGAAGCTATTTGGTCTTCTTAAATTTCCATAAGCATAAACAGTGAGAAACTGCCTGTATCACCACTGAACTGTTTGCATTCACAGAATAGTTTATGTACCAGAAAGGCCCCAGTTGTTTGACTCTAGCATTTCCGTATTTACCTCAGGTCTAACTGGACTCAGACTAACAGCCTGGCTGAGACCCCGATAAATAGGGAGATCTCTTCAAATTCGTGGTAGAGAATAAGAAAACAACCTTTTTTTCTCTTCACTTCCTCTGTGGGAAAAGCCCAGTTTCTAATGAGGAGCTGAAAGTGGTACAGGAACCATGGGGTTCCCTCCTGGGCTTGGGGCTGCCAGGTGGCTGAGAATATAAACCAAAAGTATGAGAGTCTGAGGCCAGGGTTCCCACTGCTTCAGCTTCCTTAGTAGACAGGTTGACTAGCCGGTTTTCTCATCTTGGAGATGCTGGAGCTGTGCCAGCTGACCTTTAAGGCATCCAGTTGTAGCCTCCTGAGATACTACGAGGAGCCATAAGCTACAGGAAGCCCATAGTTACTGGATATTTATTATTTACATTCATGTGCCATGCTGTTTGTTTACATGAGGTCTCAAAAAGGTTATTTTCTCCCTGGCAGAACTCACTGGATAGCACTGCATTGCTCCCATGCTATTCAGGTCAAACAGGGAGCTGGCATTTTGCCAGTGGAAAGAGTCATGATAGTTTTTGGTGCTTTTCTTAGACACACAGCAGGAAAAATTCCTCTTACAGCAGTTGATGAGCTTGTCAAGTCAAGCAGCCGTTCTTTCTGGAGCACACATGAGCACACATTTATCCCCTGGCCAGAATATAAGGGACCTGGAGAAAAGGAAGAGGGAACTCATAAAAACCTCGTTAGAATTCCATCACAGCACTTGCTTGTGACCTTGGACAGGTGACTAAACTGCTCTGAACCTTAGTTATCTTGCCATTCCAACTGCAAACTTTGCATGGATGGTGTATGTAAAGTCCTACACCATGTTTCATATATGTAGGTATTCAGGAAGTGATTGTTGCTGGTATTTTATCCCTGTTATTCATTTAAAAGGCACTTACTTCATATGCAAGAAGGATTGAGCTCTTATCAATTGTCCCACCTATTGCTCCAAACCATTTTTATTTGTAGAAGTTTCTGTGCAACTCACCTAGTCTCCAAAAAGATTCTCAGGGATGGTGATCAGGCTGATTGAATTATTTAGTGGTTTGTCCCTGCAGCATGTAGAATGGTTTTCCATCTGAGGTCCTTGGTGACAATCCCACTACTTTCTTCTGGTGTGACAGGCAGTCTGTTTCACCTCCAAATTTTCATATGTGTCTCTATATAAACTGCAACTGGCTCCTTGGGGGATTTATTTTCAGTATTGAAGCAAGATCATATAATGAAATAAAGTTACCTAAAAAGGGGTTTTTCTAAAGGCAGTAGAAAAAGGAGTCTATTTCTAGATGAATGCAGTAGGAAAGGCAGCCTGTGATGGAGTCCAGAAATATGCCTTCTTTCCTGGGATGGTACCATTTTCTAAGGAGGCAAATCGCGTACCTCTCCACAGCCTTTCTATAGTCCCATCCAAACGTAGAAGTGATGGCCCTGTGGAGGGAGGTAAGAACCAATGCATGGATCTTCATGATCTGTAACACCCCCACCCCTTCTAACTTTCTAGTTATACTGAACTATGGGGTAGTTGAGCCTTGTTCCCTTTGTCTGCATGCCCTTCCTCCCCTGCCTGGCTCCTACCCCTCCTTCAACATTAAGCCCATGTGTCACATCCTCCTAGTGGTTTTCAACCCTACATGTTAGAATCCGGGGAGCTATTGAAAGTCCTGAGACGAAGTCCTAACTCTAACCAAGTACATCAGAATTCCTGGAGTGTAGACCCAAGCATCAGTGTTTTATCAGCATTTTTGTTTAAATCACATCCCAAGTAACTCCAATGAGTAGCCAATGTTGTGAGCTACTGCACCAGACTTTGGTCCCCACATTCTTCTCTGTAAATCCAGCAGCCAGCCCAATGCCTGGCACAAGCATGTCTTCAGTAAATGCATGCTGATCGAGTGAGTGAGGGTCACCCCTGGGGTGCTCTGTCTTTTCATAGTTACATATCTTTAAGATTGGCCTCTCTGCTTCTCCAAACAGCACCTTGGGGACTGAATCCTTTGACCTGTGACCTGTATCTCTCTCCTTTGTTCATTCTTTAGGCTTATCCAGTTTACTTTTCTTCTTAAAAATCGAAGTTTTAAACAATTTTTAATAAAAATAACACATGCTTATTTAGAAAGTTTGGACATTAGAAAGAATGGGGAAACAGTCCACTCTCACCAGCCTGAAGCAGACGGGTCCCTTGTTTCCTTAGCTTTTCCTAATTTGTTGTCCTTCAGGGTTGCTTGACCCCCTGGCATGCCTCAGTGAACTCAGCTGCTGCCCTCTGTGCTCAGACCCTGTGAACTTTCCTCTGAGTCCCGAAGGGAGTTGCCTGTGAGCATGACGTTCTTGGGAGCCACCAGGACTTACTCCCGCAAGGGACAGTGTATCATGAGAGAGGACTTTTGTGCGCTATTTTTGCCTTCCTCATTCAAGCAAGATGTATAAGATTTATTAGAATAAATGATAACGTTTGTGTAATTCTTTAAAACAGTAATGTAAATGTCTGACACCTACCCCCTTGCCCTCCTAAAATCTGCGATGAGAGTGCAGCACTGGGTAATAGTGTGACAACCTGTCAGAGTGCAGCAGCTTGGAAGTATACATTTAGTCAGGAGATGCTAACTGCTGGAACAAACAAACCCAACTGGCAGTGGCTTAACACCATAAAGACAGAGTTTCTTGCTTGTGTCATAGTCCAGTGTCTCAACCTGGAGGTAACCTATGTACTCTCAAATTCCAAAAGATAAGGACTAGTCCCATAGCCTCACCCAGACAGCCCTAGGCTGGGAAATGTAGTCTAGTAAGGTGTCAGGAAAAGGAGAACACATTGGTAACCACTAGCAATCTCTACCAGTCATCTTTCTCTTATTGTCCAAACCACAATGACTAACCAACTAGCCATGTAGCCTTCGTCTTATTTAGGATACTGTTTTGGCTGCTATAACAAAGGCTAAAATGACAGTGACTTAAATAAGAAACAAGTTAATTTCTCTTTCATTTAGAGCATAAACAGTGACTTCATTGTGCTCTGATAGTCTCAAATTTCATTTCTATGAAGTGATAAAAGGTGGCTGCTTCAGATCCCACCATCACATCCTCATTCCAGTCCATAGGAAAGAGAGCAGGATGGTAAAGGGCACAACCTGAAAGCTGCATACATTAATTTCACTTACATTCCTTTGGCCCAAACTTCAGTCAGATGGCCATACCTGGGTCCAAGAAGGCTGGGAAGTTTGGGTAGGACTAAGGTGGAGTCTGCTGCCAGAAGAATGATTGAGTAGGGTATAGCAAGCAAGAGGTGCTGGATAACTAGTAAAATTTTATGCAAGTACAGGAAGCATATCTCAGTGGTTAAGAGCATGGACTAAGAGTCCTGCTGTGTGGGTTTGAATTTTGTTCCACCTCTTACTTCCTTATGTCCTTGAGCAAATTACTCAGTCTATTATCTCCATCTCCTAATCTGTCTAACCATGTGTCAGCTATTCTCTGATGCTCTTCCAGACCCACTCATCACTCCACTCTGTGCCCTGGAAAGCTTACCTTTTGGAGGGTATCATTTGGCTTCCAGTTGGATTTGGCCAGCACCAGCACCATATGAGAGGGTGGAAAGAAAGGATGTCAGGGTACTT